ATCAACAAATGGCATGGGTTAAAATTTTGTGTTCCCTCCTGTTAATTTTTGTGTTCCCAGAACGGTCCCACCTGTTACTTTGACCGTTTAAGAGATAGATGATCTGCACCGTATCACAATGAGGATATAATTCGGTTTCAGTTCTAAAACTGGTCAAAATACCGACTTTAAGACTACCATTATCGAAGACTGATTAAAGTAAAATTTCTCCATTATAAAAAAATCGCATTTTATTTTGTATCTATGGCTTTAAACATAAAGTTGTGATTATTTAATTTGCATGTCATTAAATCACTCTTTGAATTTATTTGCGGAAGAGAGGTTTGGATTTTGTGTTTGTGTTTGGATAGAATCACAATTTAAAGGATTAAAATCAAAATCGAAATCGAAATCGAAATAGAAATAGAAAAAAATCAAATATAATTCAAAATTCAGACTTTATTGAACGAATGTATGTGGGCCTTTATTAAAATGGCACCATATCCCCTTTTTGAATCTGGAAAATAAAGATTCCAAGTTGTCAATTTGGATTAATCTCACTTATTGACATTATCTTATTTATTTATTTACACGGTATTATTTATTATTCCCAGATTTGTATTTATTTATTCTGTTCGACTTAATTTGTGGTTGGTTGGTTGTCAAAAATAACCATAACAAAAATAATAAAAGGTACCAAATTAGCGATGATCTTCATTATTGACCAAATTTTATTGGCTAAATAAAGTAAATTCAACAAAAAATTTTATTTAACGCCATATTAATAATAATACCGGCTCTCGTGTTTTTTCTTATTATAGTATAGCTTTTCAATCTTAAAACATCAAAACAAATACAAACCGCGCTCAGTTAAATAAATATAATAAATCGCGTTGAATTAAACAAACATATATTCCAATGGCAGCACCTGAAGAAGACTACTCTTCCTTACCACTCACAGAAAGAGTCACTCACAAGGTGATCTTTTGTTTCATGTTTGTTTACGAATATATTTTTATACGATATGCAATAAAACTCACTTTAAGTAATATAGATTTGGAAAGTTCGACTTGGAGCTTATGAGGAATTAACGAAAAAATTTAACATCGCTGATGATGAAAGCGATTTTAAGCCTTTTGAGGGTTTAATGAAAAATATAGCAACAGACGCTAATGCTGTTGCACAAGAAGCAGGCTTGACAACTTTATTGACATTTGTTGAGAAAGCGCCAAATCCCATAAGGTAAGAGGAATAAGTTTGTATTTATTTCTCCTCCCTCCCTTTAATTTATTATTACGTTTACATAAGCTATGTAAACTATTTTCTTCAGGATAAGATCTTCTGTAATACCAGTTGTTGTAGACAAAGGTTTTGGTTCTTCTCGTGCGGGAACAAAAAATAAAGCTATAGACCTTATCTTGCTATTTATAGAAGTTGATACTGTTGACCCTGTCTTGGTATATAATTCAATTCACTCAATTCCAATTTTTTTTATTTTTTAAAAGAAATTTGAACTTGTAATTAATTTAGGTTTAATTTATAGGAAGATATTCTTGCTGGACTAGATGCTAAACAACCAAAAATAGTTACAACAACTGTATTTATCCTAAAAGAAATTATTAGGTTTGCTTATCAAAAAAAATTATATTTATTATCTTATAATAGTTTCGATATATAATGAATAATCAGGATATATACATATTTAATTTTTTAGACTTTTTGGAACAAAAATAGTAAATATAAAACCGATACTAAAACGTTTGTCTAAAATATTTGGTCACACTGATAAAAACGTTAGAAGTGAGGTAATTTAATTGATAACTTAATAAAATTTTAAATTATTGTCTTTATATATATTTTCAGAAATTAATTTTTCAAGAAAACTTTAGGGCACTCAATTAGTGATAGAATTGTATAAATGGCTCGGACCAGCTATCGATCCTCATTTACAAGAGTTAAAACCAGTGCAGGTGATTTTCTGTTTTTGTTACTTTTAATTTTTGCCTAATATCGATAATTCATATTTTACTTTATTGTATTGTGTGTTATTTGTTATAATTAACATGAATTTTAGATCAAAGAGTTAAAAGAAGCGTTTGAAAAATTACCCCCAGAAAAACCAACTCAACAACGCTTATTAAGATCACAAAAGGCCGCCGCTGAAGCTGCTGCCGAAGCTGATGATGGTAATATATATATTTTTGTTTGTTTGCCAGTTTATATATTACGATGAATTAAACTTTGGTTTTTTCACTCAGCCAATGTAGAAGAAGAAGAAGAGAAAGAAAATGATGCTTATGATTTAATAGAGGCTGTTGATGTATTAAGCAAAATGGATAAAAATTTTTATCAAAATCTGGTAATTTATTAAGATACAATAATAAAAAACATCGTGTCTTCAGTTTGAATATTAACAATTTCAAATTTTTTTCAGGGATCTGCTAAATGGAAAGAAAGAAAAGAAGCATTGGATGGTTTATTAGAAATTTGTAAAACTCCAAAAATTGTTGATGGAAATTTTTCCGAGTTGATATCTGCATTGGCCAAGGTATTTAATTTAATGCTTTTAAATCTGAACATTATATATATATATATATATATATATATATATTATATTTTAAAAAAAAACTGAATGACGATTTGTCTGTTTATTAATTTATATATTATAGCGTATATCCGATACCAACATTAATATTGTTATTGTTGCTGCAAATATAATAACAGCATTGGCATTAGGTTTACGTGATGCATTTGCAAAATATAAGGCTACGGTAAACAAAAGTTTATTATTCGAAACACGCATAGAGAAAAACTATTAAAAAATCTCCTTTTCTGTTTTGATTTATATTATTATTTTAGGTAATTAGTCCACTTATAGAAAAACTTAAGGAAAAAAAGCAAAGTGTGATAGATGCTTTAGCAGCTGCTCTTGATTCTGTTTTTAAGACTGTGAGTTTATATTCATCAAATATTGATCGTTGATCCATTTATTCGATTTTTTTTTACTTTTTTGGAAATATTTTACAAATATATAATTTTAATAATCCTTAAATTTTATTCAAGATTACATTATCTGATATTGTGGAGGACGTGGTAGCTGCTGGAAAGCATAAAAACCCACAAGTAAAAACAGAGTCGATGAAATGGCTTACGAGATGTCTAAAAACTACACTAGTGGCACCAAATAAGGCCGAAATTAAAACGCTAATAGAAATGATGGTGAAAGCATCAGAAGATAGTTTTGAACCTGTTCGAGTTGCTGCATTTGAAGGTTTGGGTACTATTATGAAAGTTATTAGCGAAAAGGCCATGAATCCATATTTAGAAGGTCTTGATGATATCAAGAAGGGCAAGATCAAAGAATTTTACGAAAAGGCTGAGGTGAAAGCAAAAGTTACTGTAAAGAAGCCTCCGCCTCCGGCTGTTGCTGCACCTAGTAAGCCAACTAAGTCAGCAAAATTTGCTGCAAAAAAAGAAGCTGTGCGTCATATTTTGGACTGGTTCATTCAATCTGTATTGATATTGTTGTAAACGTATCAACTCATATTAACCCTTTGTGGGAAAATCTGTTTTGAAGGGCGAAGGAACCAAAAAGGCATCGGCGAAAAAACCACCATCTACAGACGCTTCATCTAGTCAATCTCCGAAAAAACCCGCGGCCAAGACTTCAGCTGTGGCAAAGAAAGGCGGTAAAGCTAAAGAAGAAGAAGTACTAAAGTACAAATACGCGGATGAAAATATCGAAGAAAGATTTTCCGAACTCATTCCTGAAGACCAAACTGAAAATTTGGGAGATAAAAATTGGAAATTGAGATTAGCAGGTGCGTCAAATTTAAATTTGTGCCGATTTTAAATTGACGCGTGTGAAATCTAAATCATAAATAAAAGGAATTACCCACCATACTTTATAAGTTTAATTTGAATTTCATATACAACATATGCAAGCTTTGTTTTCACTATTTATTTATAATATAATTCTTAATTCTTTTTTAATAGCTATTGAAGATTTATACAACACCCTAGATGAGATGGATCCTTCATCGATAGAAGCAGAATTAGTGTTCCGTTTTCTTGCGCAAAAACCTGGATGGAAAGAAAGCAATTTTCAGGTTTTCATTATTAATTAATATGTCAATATGACCTTTAATGTCTTTAACTAAAACCTTTTAAATTTAACTTATGTGAAGGTTTTGACAAAGGCATTCAATATTATGGTATTAATGGCTTCTAAAGTTCCTTCTTTTTCGAAGTCATCAGCTGCTCTTGTAATACCAGGTAAAAAAAAGACATAGTTTGTTTTTTTTCAAGAAATCTTTTTAATCGACTAATTTTATAATCAAAATATTGACAGTTTTGACGGAAAAATTGGGCGATATTAAACTTAAAAAGCCAGCAGGAGAAACTTTGACTTGTTTTTCTGAAAAAATATCGGTACAATTTGTTTTTACACAAGGTAGAAATTATTTCTTAATCAACGTCTTTATAATTTTTTTAAAATTAGCAGCTAACAAAATAAAATATTATATTTTAACAGCATATGAGCCTTTACGTAAAGCCAAGTCTCCAAAAATAATAGCAGATGCTTTGACTTGGTTTCATAGCGCTATTATGGAATTTGGAATAAATGGACTTCAAGTTCGTGAATTAATCGATTTTCTAAAATTTGCATTAACAAGTTCCAACGCTTCTGTTCGAACAAATGCTGTAACTGTTCTGGGAGCACTACGAATTTTTATTGGCTCAGGTAAAATATAAAACGCATAAATTATTTTTATTTATTTAAAAATTATATATTAACTGTATTTTTTGGGTGATGTTTTGTAGACATTCGAACATTTGTTCAAGATTTAAATGCTACACAGCTTGCAACTATAGATGCAGAATTTGAAAGGGTTGCAGATCAAGCCCCGCCAGAGCCTATTAAAGCTAGTGTATGAATTGCAAAAATTTATTGAATTTTTAATTTTTCTGTTTACATAAAAAGGGGTTAAAAATATATAAATACATATATATAATATATATATATATTTTTTTTAAGTCTCAAGTAACTTCTTCAGGAGCAAAAACTTCTGTGATGGAAGAACTTTTCCCCAAAGTGGATATTGGAGCTCTATTTTCTAGCAAAACGATTGCAGTAAGCTTTCCAGTATTTATGATTGTGTAATGTTAGAAATAAAGTTAAGTTTAAGAATTGTTGAATAAATTTTTTTCACCCTACAGGACTGTAGTGATGATAAATGGAAAACCAGGAAAGAAGGCCTCGAACAAATTCTTGCAATTGTTGAAGCCAATAAAAGAATAAAACCAAATCTCGGTATTCAGATTTCATAAATGCTTATTCTTTTTTTTCCAAAAAAAAACAAAAATAATAATCCTTAATATTTGTAATTCAATCAGGCGATCTGGTACCCATTTTGAAAGTTCGCTTGGCAGATAACAACAAAAGCATTCAAATGATGTCATTAGATATTTGTGGCAAATTAGCAACAGCAATGGGGAAACCATTCGAAAGGCACGTGAAAATATTAGTTAGTCCAGTTACAGCAATTCTTACGGATCAAAAAGCAACAGTTCGTGGTAGTGCTATTAGTGCATTGGACTGCATGGTAAATGCAACAGGATTAGATCCATTAGTCTCATCACTTGCAACAAGTCTTGCATCAGAAAATCCGTTATTACGAAAAGATTTATTGCACTGGTTATCAGATAAACTTAAGGAATCTGATGAAAATAACAGTCTCCCTGATTTGTCACAGATGGTATCAGCAATATTATCTTGCCTACAAGACCGTAATGGAGATGTAAGAAAAGCAGCTCAAAATTGTTTAGGACCAATAGTAAAAAGTGCAGGATATGATCATGTCGTGACAAAATGTAGTGACCTTAAAAGTGCTGTCAAGCAAACAATAATGCCGATGATTGAATCAGTCCGTCCTGTAGGTGGTAATGGGTTAGGAACAAAAGGTAAAAAAACTGGACAAAAATCTCGACTTGCTATACCACCAGCAACCAATTCAAATAAAAATTCAGATGATGCTGATGACGAAATTGATGATGATGAACCAGCCCCAAAGCTTCCTCCCGGACTCGTTCTCAAGCCACCTGCAAGCACAAGACAAAATATTCTCTCTAAAATGCCAACAAATTCACTTCTTGCGCAACCTTCCAATAATTTAACTTCAACGTCAGATCAACAATCTTTTTCTACAGTTCCCTCAAATGAGATTCAACCTATGATTGCTAATAGGATACCTGCCCCTTCTCAAAGAGGTGGTGCAACTAGTGGAATTGGCCGAGGATTTGGAATGCCTGCACCATCTTCTCGTCTTCAATTCTCCCGATTCCGTCAAGGTAATGGAGCTAATGGGCAAAATACTGTACTTTCTGCTGAACATAATAATGAATTTGATAACAAAAGAGATCCTATTAACATGGAAATAGATAAACCAGATCATCATGTTTCATCAATTAATGATAGTTCTGTAATGAATAGTTCACCTAATGCAAAACAACATTCTTCAGATCGTAATAATGCCTTTGTGGTAGAAGTGAATATTACAAAAATTATGGGTCCTGATTATCAACAAAGTGTTGAAGCTTTAAAAGAGTTAGATAAAAATTTAAATTCTGCACCAGAATCAATTCTTCCTCATGCGGATGAAATCGTAAGATCTTTAGCACTTAAAGTCAGATTGTCTTACAGCCAACTTGAAACCTCATCACCAACTTTAGTTCGATTGTGCAAACATCTAGTTAATGCTTTGGTTTTATTGTTTTCAAATAAAGATTTAGCAATGGCAGTATCTCAAGAAGCTTTAGATACATTATTATCAGAACTTGCTCGACGTTTGTTAGATCCAAAATTACAAGAACTCGAGTCTGGCCAACAGTTGTCTAAAGCTTTGAATGTTTCTATGGTTAAAGTTTTAGAAAATAGTAATCGTAACGCTACATATAGGTAGGTTCGTTAAAGTTTTATATAACAAATGACTTCATATCTCAAAATGTAACTATATTTTAAGATCGATATTAATATTTAACAAATATATCCATCTATATAATATTTAGTGCACTGATATCCATACTTGAAAAATACTCTGATTTAAGAAAAGCAAACGAAGACACAATTTTTGAACAAACGAAATTTGCAGAATTGATTATGAAGTGTCTATGGAAATTAGCCAAATCTGTTCAAGAAAATCTTAAAGCTGGCACATTGAAACCTAATCAATTACTACGAGATCTAAATGATTTTTTCTTAGTAACACCACCTGCTGAATGGAAAAGACGTGCCACAGAAAAAGTGGCGCTTGGTGAAATGCCACTTCGTACGGTAAAAACCTTGTTGTCCGAATTGATAACAGGACTTGGTGAAGGTGTTTACGAACATTTGGATCTTATCGAAGACCCACCAAAAAGTTATGTTTATCCTTATTTGCACCACATGCTTGAGGGTTCAAGGAAAAAACAACAAACTCCAAATGTAATTATCATAAATTTTAAATTTGATGAATATATTTATTTATTAATATTAAAAAAATTGGTTTTATATCTATTGATGTTAGCATACCAATCCTGATAGTAACCCACCAAGTAGACCATTGTCTATTGAATCTGTAAGATCCCTTAGTTCAGAACCTATTGGTTTATCATCTAACGACTCACCACGCTCATCTCCAGCTCCAAAAAAAGAATCATTAATACAAAAAACCAATATATACCAACCTATAACGACAAATGAAACAAGAGCAAGAGGTCCGCCTATACCTGACATACCAGTACACTTCAATGAAACACAATCCAATTCTTCAGAACCGGTTAGTCCTGCGTCGCCACGAACTCCTATGACACCCAAGTTTCCCACACCGACAAATAGTGCACGTTCATCTGGCTCACATGAAGTCGAATTAAATGCAAGACTGACTCAAATTTTTGTTAAAATTGGAACAAGAGAGGAAACTAAACAAGTATGAATTTTAACTGTATTTTATAAAAATATTGTCATTTTTTTATTTTATTTTTTATTGGATGTATAATGTTTATGTATATTTTTTTTACATGATTAACAGGGTATTTATGAGTTATACGAATTTCAAAAGAAACACCCTGAACTAGAAAGCAAAGTTTCAGCACAATTATCAAGGACAGGAGTATACTTTCAGAGTTATATTAAACGTGGTCTTGCAAATATCGCAGCAGAGGAAGATGAAAAAGCAAAAGCAAATATCATCGCAGAAGCTAAATCATTATGTAAGTAATTATGATAATGATAACATACCTTTATTAATAGGGATTAATAGTATTTTTTATTTTTCCTCTTAAAAAAAAAAGTTCCTACAAATAATAACAATATAGAAAATCCTAATTTGTCAGAAGGTAAAAATATATAAATATTTTTTATATTCTATATATAAATATTTATTTATTATATTAATATTTTTTTTGTTAGATGATGCTTATAAACAAAAGTTACTGAGGCTACAACAAGTATTTGGTTATAAAAACGATCAAGGGCAGCATTGATATTTTTTATTTATTTATTTACTTTTTTCTTTTAAAAATATTGAATAATAAAAACTATAATTCAAATTCAATTGATTATTTGCGTGCAGTTTAAACCCTTGTAAAAGAAACCACAAATATTCTCAAACAAGCATGCAATTTTCTTGATTTTAGCCCTTCTTTATATACACTCAATGGACAAAAGTTTGTATCCATAAATTATTTTGAGATTTTCTCAAAATTATATTAAATAAATATTTGTGTTCTTTACATCATTTCAAAGTTCCGGTTCTTGAGAAAGTTTTTTATTAATAACAAATTTTTATCTTGTGAAATTTTTATTATGAAAAAATTTGACTTTAAAATTATAAAATGGATGATCAATTTTAACAGATAAAAATATTATTTCTTACTATCTTAATATCTAGTTGACCAACCATTGTTGGCAATACATTCTTCTATCCTTCTGGGCAATATTATCAATCAAATTCAAATATTTTTCACAAGAAATTTTGTTCCCATTCTTGTCTCAAGAAAATTTCCAACTCCCAAATTTTTTGGATGTTCAAGAGGATTTTTTAATCTTCGGCCAAGTTCATCCCACAAGTGCTCAATGGGATTAAGGTCAGGCAATTGAGAAGGCCAATTTTCAAGAAGGATGTGCTCATTCTCGGACATCCCTGTTAATTCACAATTTGTTCCCATTTTTAAAAAAATGGTCATCAATTTCATGATTCCCACAATTTTAATGCCAAATTTATTTTTAATGTAATCATAATAAAAATTTTTTTAAGAACCAATGCTTTCAAATGATATAAAAATCACAATTATTTATTTGGTATAATATTTTTAAGAAAAGTGAAAGACAAAAACAAAACGATCATCAATTTCATAATTTTAATGCTGATTTTATTTTTAGTTCTATCATAACAAAAACTTCATAAATAAAGATTTAACAATAATAAAAAACTTTTTCAAGAACCATAACTTTAAAATGGTGTAAAGGTCACAATTATTTATTTAGTAAGATTTTGTAAAAATGCAAAATAATTTTTGGGTACAAACTTGTCCATTGAGATAATAATAATACAAGTTCCGAATTTTGCAATTCAATTCTTTTATATACGTTATTTTGTTTTCCATTTTTGATCTTCGTGTAATTGAACCATCCATAAAAGAAACGATTTTTGGACATCTTTTCCACAAAAAAAAAAGACCTGAATGTCGACTTCCTTTTGCGGATAGTCTCGCACCAGAAAAAAATCATTTTTTTCGATTTATTTCTTGATTTTTTATTTTAATAAATAACGTTACCGGAATTGGAATTTGATGCTAATATAATAATAATTGTTGGCCGAAACATCTTAATTTCGAGTTAAATTATTTCATTATTTTTATTTACTTATTTATTTTGACATGTAACAAATGTGATCCATATGTTTGATGGATCAACGGCCACAGAACACACACCACATTGAAAGTCCATATTCAACAAGTAATTTTTCTTCGTACTTCATTGTTCAGTTTTAATGATCATCCCCTAAAATAAATATTAGTGAGAAAGATCACTTGAAACAAGCATACATGCTATTCCAAATGTACTAGGGCTTTTGCCCTTAATTCATAACATCTTCCATGACATTGAGGATTACAAGGAATTTAGCAGCCTCAGCAGGAAAAGTCAATTACACCAAGGATGTAAGCTGATATAAACCATCATGCTCTAATGAGACTCTCCAAAATTCAATTCTAGTTCCTATTACATAAACATATAACTAGAATATTGCTCATCAGCTTTGATCACTTACCATTCACAATCACACCATATGTTTCGTCATGGATTCCTATATCCTGTGCATGATTGGTTTGTAACAGCCTTGCAATTTTCTGTTGTTTGTGGCTTAGCTTCACCAAACAAAACTTCTTTGTCATGTTCACAAAGCAGGAGAAAACCTTGTTTTTCCCCATGTACAACACTCCTCTTTGCACATCAAGTCTTGGATGAAATGCCTTTGCCATTTGCCCTGAAAATTAAATTTAAAAGCATAAATGGGTTAACCAATAGATGCCTTTACATAAGTATTTGTTATATACAAGTTGCATAGTTTCAAGGATGTGAATATCTTCATCCAACAAATTCTTCCATGTGGTAAATTGTAAAAGCCATACAAGCACCATATTGTTAATATACACAGATAATATCGAGTGTCATAAATATTTGAAGCCTGCTTACAAATTATGCATGATGAGTTGCATTGAATCAAATATCTTTTTGTTTTCTTGACTCTCCAATGCATATTTCTTGCTCCAATTTTGTCTCCACAAATCTTTCAATTCAGCTATTTCATTATTCATTAAATACTTACAATAAAACAAGTGTGATTAATCAATGTCTTGAACAATAGTGATTCGCATAGTATGTAAATTTATAAACAATATATGGTAATGATGCCCACCACTTCTCATCAGTACATGAAATGTAAGTTGACTTTCCATTTTTCCTTAACATCATAACTCCTTGCTGCCTTTCTACAAAGTGCCTGGCCCTTTACACTATCCCTAAGCTGAAATCACCCCAAAGCTTATGGACTCATGAATTGGCTCTGGGAGGTGGATTATCTTCATGCAGACAAAGATATTTATTATTAAACAATTGCTTAGCAAGTTAATCAAACCATTTCTGCTTTATACTAACAAATATAACACTCTTCTCATTTTTTCCATTTCCAACCTTGGGATTAGATATCTTTTCTTGGTAGTAACACCTTTTTCTGAGAACTATAATGTATATGGTGAATCTAATACAAAATTTTGGAAATAACCTAAATTATCTTTTTAAAAAATGTATTTAATTTAAAAGAATTAAATTGGATTCTTTAAATCTAGAGGCTTAGTTAAAGAATATTTATGATGACAAACAAATGGTTGATATGTTTGTTTTGCATAATTGTTATTAATTCTAAATAATTATAATAAATGTAAGTAAAGTAACATGGTTGTCAGAGATCTCTATCTCACATGGAAAACTGCATGCACTTTGATGATTTGGGAACACCAAGAAGCAACTCAATATGCAATGTCTGATTATCAGATGGAAACTTACTTCAAGCTTAAATTATTCTTTTATTCCTCACTAATCTGACCTGCAACAATCAATGATACAATGATGCAATTAATTTCAGGGTTGCATGGCTCTGAGGTTTATTGGAAATTGTATTGCTGTTAAAAAGATTGCTAAAGGTTCTCACTTGTCCAAAGCCTACCAATATGTTCAATTTGTCTCACCCATGGAAAAATTTTTTCCATAGGGATGAGGAGTATTTGCATGACAATCGCATGTTTGAGGGAGGAAAATTTTATTAAAGCTGGCACCTGTGGTCAATATCAATCAGGTTTATTCATTTTGGAAGTGGTTTTTGAAATGACTTTTAAGGAACTCTACAACTTGTATATCATTGGCATACATATGCACACATGACATGCATATATACAAAAAAAAAGCAGCCAAGACATTAAATTTTTCCATCACCACTTGGGTTACATGGTGATGGACCATTTAAGGATGCCAGTCGCAATTTTTGATTCCTTTTTTAAATTCAGTCAGGGATATTTCCATAGATGGAAATACTAAATACCGTAATGATCGATGGTATGAAAAATTCTAGAAGAAAT